ATAATAAATATATATATATATAGGAATAAAAGAAATAAGATACATAAATAACATAATTATATAACAAAATAACATACACACACATATAAGATATAACATAAAATATACAAAAATATATACACAAAAATAAATACACACACATATATAATTAAGAAATAATTGAAGCTTCGACATTCCAGTTACAAAGATAGATCCAATTATTGATCGATAAATCTACCAATTTCATTAGAGTGTGTCCCTATTATAGTTGGAACTTCGGAAAATAGAATCTCGGAAAAATAATGTAATGGAATTGATCAATCAAAATTATTTAAGTTTAGCGTGTTACAGCACCTTTATTCTTTAGTAAGTACCTGTCAAATGATTTAAGAAATTCGAACTTACTGTGAGCTGCAAAAGTCATGATAACATCGCTCTGATCAATCGCTCTCAGATCCTGTCTGCTGAGGTCGAACTCCCCGGCTTTGTGACTACGTGCCACGGGCTTTTCCTCTTCGTCCTCGCCAAGGGCGTTCTTGTAGATATCCAGTAGAAACTTGGGCGCCGACCTCTTCACTTGGGGAGTCCTACCGATGGTGTTCCGTGGACGATCCGGGAGTCCCAGCAGATTCAGAATCTCATGCTCTACTTCGCGTTTCTCACGCTGGCTGACTACACGATGAACCACCGTCTGATCAAAGCCGTTGTCCACGTATAAACCGCTTATCCTCTCGGCGCTACCGATGGTCAAATCGCCAAGGATCGCTGCGAGGATCAGCAGGGTAGAAAAAGGTTGAGCTGACATAATGATGTCAAGGGGGAGTCAGTGTCTTTTAATCGTAATCCTTTCTGCTTTCCTTTTCAATTCTTTATCCTCTTCCTGGACTTTTCTTTTCCTTTTTCTCCCAGCAAAATTCTTCGGCTAATGTTATAAAAGTTATCTATTTTTTCTTCCTTTCCCCGTCTGGTAAATTCTTCCTTCTTTCTTCCTCTTCACTTTTCTTCGCGAATTTATCTGCGAAAGAAAGTAAGTTCTTCCACTTTTCTCTCGCATTCAATTCCCGCGATTATTCAATGTCACGGCGAAGTGCACGGGTATCTTCGTATAGCTTCAGCAACAGCACGAAAGTTCCAGAACTATTCAAATATTTTCGAACACCATAAGCAAACAATTCAAAGGTTATCAAGCTGAAAGTATTCGCGAGTTTAATTCAAAAGTTTCACGGTCTAAGCAATTATGAGAATCTAAGGACTCTCAACGATCCCATCGCGAGCCGTTGCGACAGTCGAGATTCCTGAATAACGGTGATCTTGATCGATGCGGATCCTGGTGAATGGTGATCTGGATCAACAACGCTCCCGGCACAGCGATTGCGCGCGTTGCGGTTTCGTTGTCAGGAATGGACATCGCGTGTGCGCGCGCGCGCGGACCCACACGCTGCAGATAACGCTCTTCGTCCTCAAATGTCCTTAACGGCTTGGTGACCTCGTGTTACGACTCACTCCGCTGTATCGTCCACTGGTACCGTGAAAATTTCGCTGGTCCCGATCGTCCCTTGTTATCAGTGCATGCTAGAGATTCTACGTCATTGCGATTGCGCCAGGATTTAACTCCTATGAGGAAAGCAGGAAATTTGCTGTGCATCGCGTTTTCCCTGATGATACGCTGCGCGTTTCCGTCAATCACACTCTTACGGTATCATCATTTTCTTTTTCCAAAAATAAAATTTACGTTGCTTATCACATAATTACTTGTACACAGTTTTTAAATCTACTAAGTTTTTAAATCTCTAATTATTGTTTGTTCTTCAATGTTTTCGCGACATAAAGCATAACATTAGCGCTATAACTATCCGAATCTGTACTAAAAAAATTCAAAATCGTTAATCCGAATCTCTAAACGTAATAATAATAATAACAATATAAATATAAGAGAAGAAAACGGTGATCACTTAGCTTGAATGTTTTTATTTCAGCTATTTTTGTCGGACACTTTTTGAGAACTTTACTTTATACTCCGAGACATTCTATCGCGGCAGGAGCACGATTCCAGTAGAACTGACAAATACCAGGGTTGATTCAGTTGATTGCCAATCATTGACGTGATGAGGAACGATCGTGCTCGTCCAGAATTGATATTCGTACAATCTTGCTGAGTGTGATAGAACGTTTGTTAACGTTTGTCGTAAAGTCGAGGAACCAGCTTGAATATTCGTCGTAAGTGATCGTGGGTCACCACCGCAGATGACTCCTGCCGAGTCTGGCGACTCTCGCGATGCCAGTGCCAGTCTGTTTGTCTGGCCCATGCCAGTCGTCGTCCCGAGTCGTCTCTCTAGCGAACTCACCGCCTCCCAGGTCCGTATTGAGGCCCACTCGGTCCCTTCGCCTCGAGGATTGATCCATCGACTTTTCCTCTCTTTTCTCTGTTCGCTTATTATTCGTATGTAAATAAAATTTTATTGTTGCCTTATATAACATTCCTGCAATTTCATAAAGGTTACACAGCAAGAATAGAAGTTATTTAACTCTGTAATTTTTTTAAATATTAATATTATATATTATAATAATTAACAAAAATATAAATATACCAAATGAAAATAATTATAACGAAAAATCGATACTATAAAAATAATAACAAAAAGGAATAGATGAATAAGAGCATAAATCGAATATAAAAGGAAAGTGATAGAAGCGCAAGGAAACATTCTAAACAGCATAGATTGAAACAAAACGTAAAAAAAGCAGTAAACATTTTGTAACTTGACACTTCAAGAAAATGAAAAATTCCAAAAATCATATTACATTAAATGTAGTAATTACATGATTATATTATATATTCGTTGGGTCCTAAAGTTTATGTTTTCATTACTTACTTTTTAAATCTTTTGAAGATCAATGAAAACATTTTTAGACAAAATTTTTGTCTGAGCTAAAAATTTCTGTATGTAAAAATTTTTATATGTAATCTGAATTTGCAATAAAAAGTACATGTTATATTTAAAAGATTTAATATCTAATTTGGATAGTCCATTTCTGATCGAAATCTGAAGTTGGAAATATCTCGATTCGATTTGAGCATGCTCAATTTACTTATCAAAATTTTTGAAATTTTTCATAAAAATCATTCCGCTTTTAAAAAGAGCGTACAGAAGAGTTAGGATATCCTGCGTACATACATTTGTACAAACATCTGTATGTATATATGAACATTTTTATGTTTAATATTTGTATATTATGAACTGTCATAATTATATAAAAAAAAAATACCGGTTTATTTTAATTTTTGAAACATACTAAAATCTTTGGCTCATTATTTGCACGTTCCTGTATCATAGAGGTAGGACCGCCCCTGACGAACGAGTAGGCGGTTAGTATTGGCAACCCGGACTGGTCGCCGATAACTCGACTCTTTAACGAGGTGGTATCGTGGACCAGGACTAGAGGACGCGATGGCGGCTTGCGAAGTTGTAAAAAATTTTTTTACGTGGATAACTAACATCTTCAGATTACAGATTGTATTCTTCACTAATACTAATAAAATATGATCAATCGTAAGAGGCGTCAAGTAATTTAAAAATTAAATTTATCAAATTTTTAATTAAATATATAAAATGGCTAATAAAATGATGATATTACGAGGCTCTTGTGGGACACCTTTTTGAAAATGTTACATCTATTATTGACATTCCTTCCACGAATAGTTATCACTTAAATCGAAGTATAATACCTGTGGCTAAGAGTGGTAATTCATAGTTTGATTTTATATTCAAAATCGTTTTAAAACTGGTCATAAGTGATCTTGCCAATGAAAAGTACAGTCGTACGAGTCTCGAGATGGTATTCGTAAGCTTAGATATACCGGCTGCCTAAAACTATTAATTATTTTAAGACATGATCGATGTAATAAACATAATTATCTTATAAATCGTATATACTACGCATGTGTATCCTGTAAGATGTAAAAGGAACGGCGAAGCAAAGATTAGTGGCCGGTGGTGAAAGTGAATTCAAGCCGCAAATATCAAATGAAGGTGATATGAACGGCGTGAATAAAAATATTGATATACCGTTAACTTTTGCCAGCTTTCTCGGCGTCTATTCAAATCCTCGAGCTTAGTTATCTTGTCGAAATAAATTCAATATATCCATATCATCTTCAATGAAGATTATGAAATCTTAATTTTCATTTTAAGATACCTAAAATCCACGTCAAATTTCGTGTACATATAAAATCACAAATAGAATTTTATCACGTTATTAATAAATATTTTGTACACGTCAGTATTCTGATTTTTCAAATGTGATTCTCGTGTTATATGGAACATAAAATTATAAATAAAATTCCATTTTGAATTTTGAAACGAATTATATATATATAATACATAGATCGTCAAAAATGAGCTTCATTCATTTTAATTTAATTATTAAGAGGATCTAAAAATGATTATTTTATTGATTGAATATTTAGTTAGTAACTTACATACGATTTACGTGTCATTGACGTATAAGTGGTATATCCGATTGGATACGGTTTGATTGAACCACTCATAAGGAATATCTTTTTTAAGTGATAAATTTTTGTAAAACATTAGCGTCTAAGTTCAATTCTAAAAACTCCACGTTATTCCTTCGTACAAACCATCAGTCTGTGGATTATACTGTTTCAATACAATAAATACATGATAAATAATTGCATAGTTTTTAATAATTTGCATTAAGCAAATGTTGTCACGACGTGACAACGTTAAAGCGTAACATTGAACTAAGAAATGAAAATCTCAATCAAAATTTTGTATCGTTCTCTTTTACGTTCTCGATATAAATTCCATCTCACAGCCATGTATTAATGCACATATTTTCTTAGAAAATGATTTTTAAATCTGTAAAAGAGGATCTGTACAAAAGTAATTGTTATATAAAAATTAAGCGTTATTTACAGATGTCTTTAGGTTCCTTAAATTGCTTGTTTTATTCACTACAATATAGAATGTATTTTTATTTTTTTCTTTTTTACATAAAAAATTTTTCTACGCGTATAATTAATATCTTCAACATATAATAGAGCAAACTGTTATTAACATCACAAATTAATGTATAAACCTAACATATTCGAAAAGTTTGAAATAAGATGAAACATAGTATTAGACAAAACTTTCCAATTTTTAATTTTTATCTTTCGACCCTATGTGAACTTAAGTTTTATAATTTTATTATTAGATAATACAAAAAAGTTGTTCATACGATTTCGGCAGGATGAATATAGATATATATACTTCACCTTTTCGTGGGAGAGTTATACAATTAATCACGTTTTAATTTCTTCGAAAAGTGATATTTTTCGGATCGTACATTCCTTGCATTCCTGTAGAAGCATATGAAAAGACATAGATAAGATAAATATATGATAGGATTATGTATAAACAGATATACCCAGACAACGCTTGCATGTTAAAGACATTCTAAAGATGTCTTTTGAAACGTACGTCTATAAAAAATATTTATAAAGGATAACATAAAGATATCTTTTAGACATTGCTATCTGTGTATCTTTTAGACATTGTTATCTGGTATATTAAAATAAATTGTTATGTTATTAGATGCGCATCAGTCGTGAAAAGAATATACTGAAAAAAATTCATTTTTAGCATATTTTTCCTATTGTATCATGTTATCTGTTACAAGAAAAGCTGAATCAATGAAGAAACCTTCAAGTTTCTCAATAAACTGTTATCTTAACGTGCATAATATTTGGAAAATTTCCTTTTCGTTTCTTTATTCCCGCTATCTAATCTTTTCGGAAATTATTTAAAACACACTACAATTCAAAGATTATATGAATAAAAAAAACAGAGAGTAGAATAATAATAATTTTTTTCTGAAAAACTGCAGTTGTAGAGTTATTTTTCGGAGTTGACTTTTTAATCGCATCAACGTCTAATTAAAAAAACTCAAAGAAAATTATCTATTTGCAAAATGAAATTTTCAATTTCTAAATTAGGGATTAATTTTAATTTCCTGCGAATATACTACTTTCAGATTTTGAAAATTACTTTATCGAAATCTCTGTAATATTCTCATCAAATAAATCTATATAAATCTATCTATTTCGAAACAATCCGATATATAGATTTTAAGAGATTGATAAATCTCTTAAATTTTCGTTGAATTTTTTATTCCTCCTCCCTCCCTTCCTCTTTCTCTCTCTCTCTTTCTCTCTCTCTCTCTCTCTCTCTTTTTTATATGTATATTGTGTTTCATATACTTAAAATATTTTATTACATAAAATGAAATATAAGATAATAATATAAACAATAAAATTTCCAAACGCGAATTTCTGAATTCTGAAACAAATTACAAGTCATTCCAAGCAGATGCCTGCGATCTTTACGGGCGATTAAATATTCCGTCAAACAAAGTGACCGCGTCGATCCATATTAATTTCGAATATATTATTCGGGCTATATCATATCTCTTTGTGAGATAGCTGGGCGCGTCAAGTTGGTTGAGGCTATGTCTGTGTCAAGTTGGTGCCAAGAAGTCTACCGGCGCGCGCGCTAACCAGCTGCATCGGTAGACTGCTTGCTGCCCATACGCGGGGCCTCGCACTCCCGCGGGGCCCCGCACTCCCGCAGGGCCCTCCGGGACCGGTTATACTTGACCCAGCGCGCGATTCGTTGCGCGCTGCGCCCGAGACCGGATCGCGCTGTCCGCTACCGAAAAACATACACGCGTACACGCAACGACCACTCGAAAGCGCACCGCTTATCACAGAAATGGTAAGACGAGTAAATCGATTCGATACAGGGAAAGAAGAGGGAGTAGATTGGCAAAAATTCACAGAGATTTATGAAACTTCACGGAATCAGAAATGGACATTTATATGTAGATGAACCATCGAGGAGATGCTTACCTTATTTTTCATTTATTACTCAACCGTATGTGTTACGCAAGCCTCTTGAAAAATTGCGGAATCAAGGATTTACAGAAGTGAAAATTCTACTTTTTTTTTTGTTGAGGTTTCTTAGAGAATTTATCTGTGCGGAACAGATGATCAATGATGTTCTGTAGATCGAGGGAGTAACACGATGGTATAAAAATGAATACATTCTATTCTTGAATCACATCATTGTTAGCACAAATAAAACGGAAAAAATATTCCCTGATTTTTCCCAATCACTTTTTAAAAAGAATTCCCTGACTAAAGTAATAGTATAAAAAGAGCACTGAAAGAAACAAAGACCAAAATTTTAAATCGTTATAGCTGTTTCATTTTAATATTTAAGAGGGCAAATTTATTTTTAAAATTTTACAACTTTTCTTAAGTAAGATTTATTATATTTTATATTGTATTTCTTTACCTCAAAATATGACTTTAACGTGATATTATAGTAGATAATTTCCTGTCTATAACGCTAATATCAATATTTAAGAATCAATAAATCTTTTAAAGATTTGTTATAATATTGTTTGTGTTCTTTAAATTTAAATTTAATATTAAAAATAAAAAATTCAAAATGTTACATCCAATATGACTATAACATTTCAAAATATGAATATAAAATTTCAAAATAAAAATAATGAAAGAAACAGCGCAATCAGTGCAATAGTGTAATCTAATATACAAAATACTACTTAACAAAAAATAGGGAACACTTTGGAACACGTTCAAAATTTTGCAATATTCAGAACACTGTAACTTGTAAAAAATCATCGCAAAAAATCAAAAAAGTATTTTAAAGCATTTTAAAGGTTAAAATTTCTACTTTCGAAATTGGTAATTGATATTTTAATTAACTGATTTTTTACGAAGCTATATCAATACAAATGAATATTCATCAAATCTAAAATTTTGTACAAGGAATCAAGGATATACATCAATCTAAAATTTTTTACAAAGATCTATGGCATGAAATAAAAAATCACACAAAAATGCGATTTACAATCGAAAGAGTGAATCTTTACCTTCAATCTCTTTTTTTTTTTTATTGAACATTGTATAATTTTTTTTCGTCGAGTTATTGGTCTCGTTCAGCAGACTCGAATGTTGCGAAATTTATCCGAAAAATATAACAGTATATATGTATAGCTTCTCACTTTATATAGATTAATAAATTCATTGATTCCCTGATTTTTCTTGATACGCTAACAATTCCTTCACTTTTTTTCTTTCTCTTTTAATTTTAATAATATAATAGCTAAGTATTCGGTCATATGTGTATCTGACAAATTTCAAAATCAATTTTCTTGAAAAGAAGACTTGTATGAAAAGAATTAACATTACTTTTACACAAGCATTCTTTTTTCAAGTGGGGGGCGCATTAAAAATTCGTCTAATTTTTTTCATCGTTTTATTTTGAATACATTTTTGCAAAAATATCAAGTATGATATTGACATTAATATACATTTACATTACGAGGTTGCACAGTTGAATTTTTATAATTACTTAATATTTATACATTAAAGTGTTTCAATCATCTTGCATTTTAAATCAGCAACAAGAAATTGTACACAGATAATTTAATCATAATTGTGTGCTCAATTATTGGTTTTTTTTTTGGTTTGCGCGGAGGAGAAAAATCTTCTTTACCCTAACCAACCGCTTAAATTCCAAAGAACATAACCGGATGACCGGAAGACGAGGCCCGAGTTCTTCGGGTGTGCGGGATTCGATGCCGTTGTATCGCCGCATCGATGCCAACGACATCGCCTACCCGCTAAAAAACCCCCATAATTTCCTTCTTAAACTTTACGAAAAACGTTTCGGATCTCATTTCTTTGGAGCGTCCTTCAGACTCATGGGATACTGACTGCCCTGCATCATTGCTCGGGTTATCTCGTCGCATATTTGGGATGAAAACGCTACCCTGTCCGCTCAATTGTTGATTTAGGATTGGTTAATAATGATTATTCAATATGAATAATGAGAAGAAATAAACATTTATTCAATAATATAAAAAAATTATTTACAATGCTGATGCTTATAATTAATAAACTACTTAACATATTTCTCCATAAATTTACGATGAAATTCGCTTCGTAGAGAATCGTTAATAAAAACATCATGTTTCTTTTTCGGTTCGGATCGTGCACAATTTTTAAAGACGACATCATCGTCCCATCTTCTTCGTACTTTCATATCTACTCTTCCACTTTGTGAAGAATAATTCAACAAAGGATTTCCTGAAAGGATATTTTCCATACGTATTCTCTCCTCTTCTTGACGTTTCTCCATTTCCTGCAAAATAATAAATATAAGATAAATATAAATATAAAATAAATATAAAATAATTTTTTATTTTTTAGACACGAAAGATACACAAAGAGATAACAAAAAAAGTAAGCCAACTTTGAAAATACTCTAATTTTAAAAAAAAAATCCTTTCAAAAAAAGAAAAAAATATAAGTCAAATGCGTAAAAAGGTATCGAAAGGAATTACATTCTTCTTAAAGAGACCGAGAGGTTGAAAAAATCGATTTTTTTTTATTTCATTTTCGGAAAGTTGATTGTCTTGAAAATACATTGTCAAAACTATTCATAGAAATAAAATAACGGAGTAATTCACGATTAACTGAAATGATGCACAGATGTGCGTTTGAGTTTCGATCTCTCGCAGCGCGCCATACGGCTGTTACTTCTTCGAACAAAGAAACATCTGTCGTATTTCTGTTTTTTTCTATATTTCAAACAAGAGAATGAATTATGGCTCAGGAATAAAAAAAATTTATTGTAAGTACTAAAAAAAATAAATATTCTAACTCAAAATTTTAAACGCATTTTTCTCGAAACGTGTTTTTTCAAATTTGCTGACATTGTAGAGAGAAAATGGCTTAATGCACTGATCGCTGCTTTTTAAAAATTTATTACAACTATTTTCTCCATACGGTAAACCCAAAAAAATAATAAGTTTATCAAATTAAATAAATTTTTTAAAACAATAATAGTAAATATCGTCTACAGAAATGAAACTACGCGATGAATTCCGCTCAAAATTTGAGACTAATCAGTTGAGAGATGCTACTTGTCAAAAAGTAATATGATATGACACTGCGAGTACCCTTTGACAGATTTTCTAAGAACTTATTGACTTGCCCTCGTATAAAATGCAAATAAAATATAAGTCTAAACCTAAAATAAACTGTAATCATTTTTCCATAAAAAATTCACAAAAAATCGTTGATTTTTTGACTCTCTAAACCATCTGGCTCCCTTAATAAAAAAAATACAAAATAAATGCAATTAGTCAAGTATTTCATTACACAAGACACATAAAATGGACCGAAAGTGACTAAAATAGTCAATTGACTTATAATAAAGAATAAATTTGGCATGTACAGGTCACATTAAAACATATATTTTTATAGTGGAAATTATTTGTAATACGCATTAATAAAAAAGTTATTATAAATAATATCTTTGCAGATATACACAATGAAGAAAATTTAATTGAAAGTTTATCGATATCAAAACTCCGAATAATTAGTGGCATCGCGAATTTAACAGCAGTGAATATATATGCAGCGAGACACGTTAAGTGGCCTGTTATATATTTTTATGCAATTGATGTTGCAAAGCTACTGCGTCGCTTGATCTTTACAATGTTGCATACTAACTTTCTTAGCTTGTTCTGCTGCTCGTTCTTTCTTGATCCTTTGAAGTTCAGCCAAAAGCGCAGCAGTATCATCTTCATCACTATCAGAATCGGATTCTTCATCATCAAGTGGATCATCTGCATCTAAGCTGGCGGCAGGAACTTGATCTAACTTTTGTCTTTTTGTACTAGATGCAGTTGAGTCCCTGGATGGTTCAATGGCACGACGGCTTGATCCTTTATCCTTGTCTATCCGCTCTCTTTCTTCCAATTCCTTTCTAAAGTCTCGATTTCGCAATTCCTCAATTGTTCCTTGACCATGTTCTCTGTAGAGAAATAACAAAATTATTTAGTATTAAGAGAAATTCATCATGAACAATTTTTTTTCTTAGAATTCTTGTATCTTTCTTAGTGTATTTGATGCAATATTTTATCATGTCTCTTGTTAGATTATCATACACATACAACAACAAAATTTACTATTAAAAGTAACTAATTCTTGAAAAATTTATGTAATTATCAAGTGGATCTTAGAGCCTGATATTACTGAAAGATACAAACATTATCAACTATTTTGATCAATGATATAAATACCTTAACAATTAGCGTATAATACTGTCATACTAAAAACATTGAATAAAATTGAAACTATGCTTTAGTGGATGAGTACCTCCCTCCTGTCTAGTTGGGAATAGCTCCATTTCTGTCTCTTCACTATTTAGCCAAGTCACATATGTTATCCAGATGGAAGTCAGATATACAATGATTGGATTGCATATCTGGCTTCCATCCGGATAACACATGTGACTTGCCTAAACAGGCGAAGAGACAAAAATTAGGCTACTTCCAATCTTATTCCAACGTTTTCCTGTCTACATATTGTTATAATGTTATACGAAATGGCTGAAGATTTGAAATAAACCAAAACATTTTAAAAAGTTTGTATTGGAAGTCTTTGTTTTTAATATATTTGACACATATACTTAAGATATGTGAATTTTTAAGATTGTTATATAAATTGCGCATCAATTCCCGCGCTGTGTAACGCTCTCATTGTCCATAAATTATTTGATAGTTTTTTTAATCTCGAGAACTCAATTAGTATAATTTTTTATTTTAATTTCTCGCCATATGTTTCCTGTTCTTCCAAAGTTCGTTAACTTTTATCTCGGGTGACATAAAACAAAAAACCGGACAAGAAGCAAAAAGACAAGATGTAAAAAATAGCAAAAAGCAAGAAACAGAAAACAAAAAATACATTGTAGAAAAACCATTTACATCCGGTTTTTTGTTTTATGTCACCCAAGATAAAAGTTAATGAACTTCGGAGGAAACATATAGCAAGAAATGCAATTATCGATAAAATGGTTGCAAAGGGGAAAAAAGCAAGAGACAAGAAACAAAGAAGTTGTAGAATAGGCTTAAGCCATTTAAAACAAACCTTTGGTTATCATAACCTCAAAAGAGTCTTGGTCATGAATAAATCGAGAGCAAGAATGCCGATTCTAGATTTTTTTATAATATGCAAAAATTAATGCGTATTATCATGAATTAAGATAAATCGATGGCAATTTCCAGGATCGATCGAATTTGATTCACTGCTTACCTGTACTTAAGTTTCGTGTGCGACGGCAAATCTCTACTACTGTATTGCTTTGATATCGCGCTTAAATCTTTCTCGCCTCGTCCTTGTCCTCCTCGGGCAGGTTCGAAGGTCGGTCTTGCTGCCGTTGTCATGTTTTTGTTTAAAAATCACTTCAACGAATCACAAAATTGGATCGGATACAACAGGCAGCGACAAATATGTACAGATCTACACAGATTACAGGACAGGACGCGAATGAGAAATTGTGATGACTCACGATTCATGAATGCGTTTGATCATAGAATATATATAATGAGAAGTGCCAGCTCCGTGTCAAACGAAGGAAGTCCGATCGCTGCGCCCTTAGTGGTTAGGCTTGATACTGTATCAAAATTTATTTCCAGTGCTGAAAATGTATAGTATACGTAACGTAAACTGTAGATTTTCAGCGTTAGCAGTGAATTTTGAAACACAGCCTAGATAGCATGTAAGGGTGTTTCAAAATTCGCGCCCATAAAGTACAAGATGTAATACTTTATCCTAAAAAAAACAACTTTTCCAATTTGCGAAATTGCATCTGATAAGTAGTTTTTAGATGTGTTTGCATCACAAATCGGAGGCAAATCCATTTACTCTTTTACTTCGAAAATCGTTTCGGTCGCATCTTTCTGCACATCTCATCTGCGTTCGGTATTAAACACAAACTTTTGCATAACGCATAGTGCATAAACGTATCAACTAATCAGAATCTTTTCTTTCCTCCTATTCCATGAAAAAGAAGGATTTCAATTGGTTGATTTCTTTATGCATTATGCAAGAGTCTGTGCCGCGGCCATTAACATTTCTAGAGCCAATCGAGCTGCTCGATTCACTCCGGATTCAAAGACCGAGCTTGCAGAGCTAATACAGATTTTCGCGCCTAAATTCATCTATACATTTATGATAATGTATTAAACTGATTCGTTAACACATAACGTACATTCATCTCTTTTAATACTTCTATTTTACAAGTAATGTATTTTACAAGTAATGTATTTGAACTGTTAAGGCCGCAGCACAGACTTATGTATAATGCATAACTCATAATCCTTCTTTTTCTTCCAATTAACAGAAAAGAAGAGCTTTGTTTGGTTGATTCTCTTATACACTATGCATTATGCGTTATGCAAAATATGCTGCGGCCTTTATAATGTCTGAATCTACAAATGTTCAAACAAATGCTACCTAATAGAAATTGATAGAGTACATTATGGCCCGTATTCAAAACGCACTTTTATGATAAAATTTTATAGTATGTGTAACGTAAATTATAGCATGTTAGCGCGCTAATATCATTGTAAGCGCGTTCTGAATACTTATGTATAATATTTATATAAAATTATACTATGTATAATTTTAATATTAACGAGGAAAGTAAGTTTTTAATTCTTTTCCTCTTTATGAATTTGAAGTTACGTATTTGAAAACAAAGAATTTGCTAATTGATTTTTAGATCAAAGCTTATGTTGCATATAGTATGAAATAAAATCAAATTATATTAATATATTAAATACTCTAACGAATATAAATCAAGTGATGTAACTTACAAATTGCTGATAAATTTATTTTGCAATGTAATATTTTCTTTTAAGAAAACACACCTTGCATATGAGTGTGCTACATTCATGTGTAACGATCTATTTTTAATATATAAGACTATTATTAGATTCTAGTAAAGACATTTTCAATTAATATTTTTTATTTATTTATAAAAATAAACAATTTCAATTTATAATCTAACCTTAAAGGAAAGTTTACAGCTTTGTAGCGTTCGGAATTAATTTTTAGCACTCGGATTGCACATTGATCTGCTCATTAGGTAATTAAAAAAAAATTGCGAAAATTATAAAATGATAGAGGAATTTTCAATTCAATTTTTGATCAGGAATAGCGCTATACAATTAGTGAGTTGTATTTAAGATATAGAAAAGTTTGTTATAGCTTCTCTGTAAAAGTTAATTTTTGACACTAGTAATATTCTTCTTACAATATTTTTCTTACAATATTTTTTAGAATGATAATGTATGATTAATGTTATGTCATAAATGTCATAAACATCATAAATGAGATAGGATTTATATTTAAAGCATTTATATTTATGCATCAAGCGTATTTGCACGCAACATTGTATTATATAATAAAAAAATATGTTGCATGCAACATTGTTATATAAGTAACTCAGAAGTTATTCTCTTTAAAAGATACATATATGTAGTATCTCATTCATAAAAAGTACCTTATTACAAAAAAGATATTTGATACGAGATTCCACCTCGTTTTTTGATAATGAGATTTTTGATAATAAGACTGAAATTTTATTGTGATAACGAACCTGGAAACAGCGCACAAATATCCTTCATATGAGTTAAGAATAGCTTCAGCATGGATACCGATTAAAGTAGTAGTGTAATAATGTATGTTTATCTTTTATATCATTTATAAGTTCTGTGGACATTAAAAAGAACGTGCAAGTCTAATGCGAAATTGAAATTATTATAAGAGTTCATAAGATCCTTCGACTTTGTTTTGACTCAATTTTCTCTGCATATTCAGACGGTACAGAATATTTATTGTTATTCATTTTTTAAAATGTTATATAAATATTTTTTACATATTTTATATAAAGCAAAATTTAAATAATAGTGCCTTCGAAATTAAAAATAATAATAATAAAATATATGGAATGAGAACGTTAATACAGCGCGGAAATTGATGCGCAAATTTGATATAAAATTCATATAATATTCACATAATATATTAATCTACTAAGAGTATCGATACGAATTTCTTGGACGTTTCGGTTTATTTGAAACCATCATCAGCAAGTTGTGAATAATTTTCATTGATCTTTATAAGCATTTAATCCGCAAATGTTGGAAATATATTCTAAATATAAGCCGAGGATGAGCATATTCCTATTAATGTCCTCATTGCCCGTATATTTTATTATCATTATTTTTTATATAAAATTTTATTTGAAATATTATTAAAAGATAGACTAAATATTTAATGTAATATTTATGATAAATACTAATAAATATTTTTGAATATTTTTAATTTGAATTAATTGATATAATGTCTTAAGTATTTAAATAGCATACTTATTTACTATAAGATTTATAACAAATATTTCATAATATTTATAATAAATGTTTTTGATCATCCTATGTGAAGCGAAACGCTCATTGAAGACATGTTTTAATGAACATCGGAATCACATAAATAGGAATACAACACTCTATAATCACAGAGCATAATCACGATTTTGATTGGAAAGATATCAAAATTTTAGATGAAGGATTTAATAAAAAACTAATTTAGGAAGCGATCCATATAAAAAAAAACAAAAAAAGAATTTTATCAAAATGACACGGAATTGTTGGATCCATTATATAATGATTTAATTTAGAGGAAATGTATGTGTTTTATAAATTATAAATTTGTATTGTCAAGTTTTGCGTTGGTATTTATTCTGTTTTATACTTATAACTTTTATACTTATAACATTGCGAATGAGAAACGTCCTCTCATGCATCGTTATTATATAATCATAATCATGCGTTATAAGATGGATATTGCGTTATAACGTATTGCTATGTTTACAATGTAAATTTTATCTAACTGATGCAATACATTGATTACGTTAAGTTAACATTTCGAAAATTTCACATATTAACTCGATTTTAATTAAATGATTGAATTCTTATTTGGGTATCCATTATTCTTATTTGGGTAACTAAATACAACAGACGATAATGAAGTTCTTAATTTTAAACAATGGTTTAATGATGATTTATTGACAGTTGTATTATTTTACAACGTATCAATTTGACTTCGATAATTTTATTGTTACACTGAAGAGAACCTAATCTTATGATCGAAATATTTATAATTGGTGATTGACATATATATTATTTTTGGTTACACACGTACAACTGTGTCGGGTCTCATTGGCTTTATACTCCTTTATTGATTTAATCTTTGGAGCCTTTTTTAATTTTAATTGTTTTTAATCATGATTCTTTTTAAGTTGGTTTTTTTTAAAGTTGTTTTTGTGCTAAAATGAACAACTTTTTCCTATAGTAAAATTACATTCGATAAATAATTTTTATACGTATAACTTCATCCTGCTCTCCTGCAAAAACTACTTAGACATAATTTTACAAAAGAAAAAAGTTATTTATTTCTTTTTACCATAAAGTGTCATGTCCTGTACTCCGAATTCATGAATTTCGAATCACCCGGTATAGATATAATAATGTAATAATAGTATATATAATAATAGTAGATATAATAATAGTATAGATATAATAATCATAGTTTGTTAATTAAAAAATTATCGTAAACGTAAATAAAATAATATGTGAAATAATATCGTTACGATCCTGAATTTCAAGATGCCAATGAAGTGGAGACTCATTATAGCTTTCAGAACCCTGAATCGCACGCTAAATCGGATGTTTAAACGTTCTATCTTTATTGCAAATAAGAGAAAATAACAAGCTTATTTATGATTTTATAAATAACAATCACTGATAAATACATGTCAAACATGTTTTTTTTTTCTGTATCAGCAACGTGATTTGACACATTCTAGACATTTTTTATTAATCACATATGTGTTCATTACATAAGCATTGTTGGGAACTAAATGCTTTCCATTATATAGTAAGACATTGGTGGATTCATACTCAGTTTTCACAGTGACGTGCTTCGATCGTACGAACATAATACAACAGAAATAATATCATTTCCGAGTCAGATTTTTTTCACAAACGATAAATTACCAAAAATGTAATGAATAAAAAATTGCGAATAATGAGTTATAAATCGTATTGTCTGCAAATTATAGAAGCATAAAAGAAGTTTATAATTTAATATTTTTAATTTAATATTTTTTTAATGAAATAATAAATTTTTTAATGAAATACTTAATATTGATGTTTTATGAAAAAGTTGTTTGTTATTATCTTTCAGATTTACAATGGTACTTGCGGAATTAATCGGGGTTTTTATTTTTGCCTTGAGCCTCTTGTATGTTTATTATAAATTTGTGATATTTAATTTCTGGCACAAGAGAGGTGTTTTTTATGTTAAACCCGTTGTACCCATCGGAAATTTAACAGAGCTTGTAACTGGAAAGATATCACTAGGCCAGTATCTTTATATCTAATATTAACATACATAAAAATAAGAGAACTTATTTTTACGTTGTAATTTCTCATAAATTAGGGGAGACCGGAAGAACTGATTGTCATATACGGGATTGATTATCAAAATGCTTATAACTTAAATAGGACATGGCAAAAAAAATTTTTTCACTGTAGATTGCTGATATAATATTAATTTGTTATGTAAACATCACATTGTATATTATTTATAGTGATTTTTAAGAAGAAGTTGGTGAGTAAATTTTTCTTATCATCTATTTTTGTTGTCTGACAAATCTTTGACATTATTAATTGCGATATCCCTGTATTCATAGAAAATGACTTAAAAAATTTTTGTTACAATTAATTAATCATTATTCTGATAAAGTTTATAAATACAATCTTTTTTATTAAAAATGACTATGTGAAGTAAATTGACCAAAATGAGATGAGATAAGACAATTCATTTTAATATTTTTAGAGAACACATTTTTAGAGAATATATTTACAAATATATTATAAAACAATCATATCAATTAGAAATTTCTGACGATTAAGAGTAATAATAGCGCAGAAGTTGATACGTTTGATCTTCACAATAATATATTTCAATTCTTATATAACACATCGATCGAATGTTTCAGCTCCATTCGAGCCATCTTCAATGATGAAGTAATTACATGTGATGTTTTTGTAATTCATGTGATGTATTAAATCGAAAAGTGCAATGAATTACATGACAATCAACTAATTAGTTGTCACATTTTCGCAGTTTTATTTAAAATTAAATAACTTATTTTTATGGTATGATGAATTTATGAGTAATATTTTTTTTAATATATACTTAAAGGATGTAGGTATATTAAAACATATATAATATTTCAAAATCATAAGTATTCACTTTTTTCTAAAAATCACTAATAAAAACTATGACAACTGGTCCCGATCTCCCCTACTTCTCAGTAAACGAAAATGAACTGAAATGAGTTGAAACAAATTTAAATTTTTAAAAAAGTGCACATTCGCGAACGTTGAAATAAATTCTTTTCTGTCTTAATGCATTTTTATTCGTTTTCAGGAATTGTATGAAGTACATTTCTATATCTTTCAATCTAAAAAAAATTGCAGTTTTTTTTAAATGCATTTGCAAATATTGTTCAAATCAAAATTTTTATAAAAAATGCAGTTTTTCAATTCAATTGAATCTGAAAAAGATTTTCTATCCAATTAAATTTTTAAAAAGTGAAAATATACGAATGCTACTAAAGTACTTTGTATGGATTCAAATGATTTAAAACTTTAATCCATTTTAATTCATTCTTATTTACTAAGTTTTTTCTGTTGTTTTTGTGTTATTTACTAAGTTTATAGAAATTAAGTACGGTGAGTTTTGTTTTTTATATTATTATATTTTATATTATATTTAATTTGTTATTTTTTATTAGATTTATTTTCAGAATCGTATTTATATCTTTATTTATATTATATAATTATATATATAAAATATTTTTTCCCAGCTAACTATAACTTTACTTTTATTTACACAATATTTCTTTCGAAGTAGTTTTTTTAAGCAGTATACACATCTTTGTCAATATTTGATTGTAAAACGTTGACAACGTATCCCTAAAAATGACTTTAATTATTATACTTCTTGAAAATTCCTTACGTCATCACGTTTGCAATGGCATTCAGCAGAGCAAGCAGCTTTGCAACTATTATTCTCAATATGATTCTTCAATTGCTTTTGGTTTCTCATGAATCTAAATTTATAAACCAATCGTATTGAAGAATTTTACATTTGTAAAGCTTTTTCTGCTGAACGCAGCCATTGATTTCTTAAAAAAATCATTATATTTTCGTGTATGTCGGAATTATCATGATCAGGCGCAAGATCTTAAAATAATGAAATTACAATTACTCTAGATAGATAAATAATGTCTTCTTTATTTATATTTGTATGTCATTTATATTTATATATGTATGCCAATTTCAACTCACTTTAGAATCCCCTTCAGCATATATAGATATAGATTGAAAAGCTCACACAGCCAAAAAGATTGTGTCACAAATTGCCAGAGATGGAGTAATGTTAAATCTGACAATGCAAGAAATTTAATTAGAGTAGAAGAATGTGAAAAAAATCGATTGATTCACACTTTAGTAGACAGAAAGTCAAGAAGCTTTGATGCATAATTATTCATAGAATTACATTTATTTAAAAAACAAGAAATCAGATCGACAGTGTCCGTATTATGACAGTACGTTAGGACATATCACACAAGTTTAAAAAAATATTAAAATAAACGAAAGAGTTATACATTAAATATTCTTATTAAGCATTGAGAATATAATATATTATCAAGAATATTTATTACATATTATATAATACATAAAAACGGTTAAACGAACATAAAGTAATCATTATGAAAATTAACTGGAATTAAAATTATTTAGCATAGATACATGAGCCTAAGACAATTCTTCATTAGTTCACTTATTTAAACCATTTTTTGCATGTATGCGTAATTGAATGCTTAATGTACGGATGTAATACAGACACTGTCGACCTTTATATCTGATTTCTTGTTTTTACTTTTTATACAAATGTAATTCTGTGAATAATTATGTATTAAAACTTCTTGATACATTTTCTATCTATTAAAATGAATCACTCGATTTTTTAGTATTTCATATTTTTTCATTCTAATTTTTTTGCATCTTTAGATTTAATATCATCTTCATCTCTGGCAATCGTGACGCAATCTTTATGTGCATGAGTATATCCATTTTGATGTATATTTATATAACTGAAGAGGATTTCAAGATAAGTTAAAACATTTAAAATAAAAAAGACATTTATATCTACAGAGTAATCGTAAATTCATTCTCTAAGATTGTGCCTGATTGAAGGTTTGGTATATTATATAATATGCATAACTACCACGCACGAAAGAGTTAAGTAATATCTTGTCAAGCATAACATCATGACTGTGTAGCGCGCACACACACACACACACACACACACACACACACATACATTTGCCATATTTTTCAGATCGCCTGATCTTTTGTCTGCTTTCGCGCTTAGAAGAAACCTCTGGAGCAGCGACAATTCGCAAACACACAAAGAAAGTCATTAAAAATGCGATAAAAGCATAAAAAATGATAAATGATTTTCAGAAATGATTCCAAATGCTTTACATATGTTGGTACAAATGTGTGTAGCTGTCCAAAAAAATACTTTGAAAGAAACTTTGTTAAATAAAGATATAGAATTAGCTATTTCGGCGTTAAAAATCAATTTCGGGAACATGTGAATACACAAGTACTTATGCATTTTTGTAATTGCTACAACTTATAATTATTATATTGTGCTTATTCATCTTTAAATAATTATTACACATTTTATTTTTATTTTAATAAATTTAATAATTTTTGTTATTTATTTCTATTTGAAATAAATTAAATAAATTAAAATGAAATTAATTAAAAAATTTTGTTTTCAACAGGCGAATTTTTCCAAAATGCTTATATGAAATATAAAGATCATCGCGCTTTTGGAATGTATACGTTTTTTAGACCAAATTTGGTAATTACCGATCCCGATCTTATTCGAACGGTATTGACAAAGGAATTCGGGAGTTTCCATGATCGTGGAATGTACTTCAACGAGAAAGTTGACCCATTGTCCGGCCATTTGTTTCTTATGCCTGGAAAAAAATGGCGAAATTTACGCGTCAAATTGACACCAACTTTTACTTCAGGAAAAATAAAACAGATGTTTCCGATTATGAAAGAATATAGCGAAAAACTTGCAAAGTATTTAAAAGAAAAAGCACAAATGAAAGATCCCATTGAAATGAAAGAGATGCTTGCAAGGTAAATTAATTTAAAAAAAATTGTTATTAAAATAAAATTTTTTTAACAACAAAAGTAGAATCTCCTTCATTTTAATGTAAAAGTTGTTAGCCTAATAGAAAATAAAATTAGAATTATATGATAAATAAATAAACAATATATCTAAATTAAGAAAAAGTATTTTGTCCTTTTGGCGTATACAGAATGTAATACTTTTGTTAATTAATTTAATTTACTTATAATATCATGCAAAAGCGGCTAGATAAAAAAAAACCGTTTAGGATAAAAGTTATATACGAGGCCTGTTCAAAAAAATAATCGAACTTTTTTTAATTTTTATTATTAAATATACAGCTTATTGGTCTTTGTCTCCTTCAAAATACTCCCCTCCTCTATTCACACACCTGTCCCAGTGTTTCCACTTTACCATGCAGTCCAGGAAAGCTTCTTTTATATTCTTTCAATGCCAGTGACGAATTCTTCTTAATCATCAATGGCATCCTTTCAATACTGATTTTAATTTTGGAAGAAAAGGTCGCAAAGAATAAGGTCTGGAGAATAGAGAGACTGGAGGAGGAACAGAATCATCTGATTTATGGTACAAAACTTGCAAATTGACAAGGCTGAGTGGCAGGCGCATTGTCATGGTGGTGGTGAAGAAATGGATCTGTTTTTTATTGCTACACTTTCTAAACTGGTATACAGTGCAATAAGTTGAAATAAAACAAATATACATTTGTTTCATTTCAACTTAATGCACCGGTTCAGAGTGCAGCAATAAAAAACATACTTCTTGAGTTGTCTCACTACAACTGTGGTCTCTTTGCGAATTTTTTCGCGCAATCTTTTCAAAATGTCTTTGTAATACTGGTTGATTGTTTGAGCTTGAAGTAAAAATTCAAAATTCACAGTTCCATTGAAATAAAAAAATTTTACATTGAATTGTTGCCGTAAATCAGACATCGCGAAAATCGCCACGAACACTAAAACTCGCACTCAAATAGCAATAACTCTAAAATTAAACGAGATGTACAATCAGAAAAAAGCCGGTTACTCGGAAGATTATACAATTGTAATGTTGCCAACCACAATTATTGGTGTCCCACTCTTGTTTGTTATGTAGAATATTGATTTTGAGTTAAAAGTTTCAATTTTTTGTTATGTGTCAAAATTGAAGATCAAGCAAAAGTCGAAAATGATATTCTTTGATGTCAGTAAATTAAATTATTTAATGAAAAATTTTTTTGTATTACATCTAGTGTTGCTCTTTCTTGATGGCTTTCTACTAGTATTTAAATCTTAGAATTCTGTTTGAATTCTGTCTTTCCACTATCTCATAAATAATATTAAATGTTTTTGTAAAAACACAACTATGTGTTAAAATAGGAAAATCAATATTTCTTTATTCATAAGAATTTATTCTTGTTTATCTTCAACTTGATATAAAATTGGTATTTCATAATTTCGATAAAATTTGATAATATTCATTAAAAACTGTTTATCAATTCTATAAATAGATATACAACAGACGTGATCATGTCAACAGCTTTTGGTATCGAATCTGATTGCATTGAGAATCCCAATAATCAATATCGAAGCTATCAAAAAAAGATTTTAGAGATAAATCCAATTTGGATTGCCTTATCTGCATTTACGCCGAAAATTATGGATTTTTTTTCCATCCCTTTTACGGATCGAACCGTCATCAGCTTCTATATGAATATGTTTCAAGAGACAGTAGAATATAGGCAATCTCATAATATCGTTAGATATGACTTCGTGAATCTGCTTTTACAACTAATGAAGAAGGATTATGTTGATCCTGATGAAAACAAGAAGATTACCAACCACGTATCATGTAATATATATAATTTATGTTTATTCTTATATTAATAAACTTCTTCACAATGTGTTATAAATATAAATTATTTCTCTTTGCATTCATATAAATCAAATAATTAAATTTTTTTCTTAAAAATGTGCTTTTGTTTAAAATTATATCATAACTAAATATGTCATTTTTTTATTTACAGCAACTGTGAATAAACTTACCATGACAGAAGCGACTGCGCAAAGTTACGTTTTCTTCATAGCTGGCTTCGAAACCTCCTCAACAACGGGGTCGTATGCTCTATATGAATTAGCTCAACATCAAGATATTCAAGATAAAGTTCGCAAGGAAATCGATGAAATATTGGAAAAACATGGTGAATTGACTTATGACGCTGTGAATGAAATGACATATCTCCATAAAGTAGTAAATGGCAAGTATATATATTATCGCACTGAAATGACAATTAAATTGATGTCAATTCAACGTCGAAATTATCAAATTGTCGTCGAATTAACGTCAATTATTGTCGAAATCAAATTGATCTCGAATCGATGTTGATTCCATTATCATTTCTGGTTCGAGTAGTACACTGAAAAAAAAGTGATGTTATTTCAACAGCATTATTTTAACTGTAAATAATCTTATTAATTTAACAACAATATTAATAAAATAAATAAAATAACTAAAACAAGAGCATAAGTATTTGTTTCTTTAATAACACTTTTTAAGCTTTCATGATTATATCTTCAAAAATTTTAGAACGACTTTGCCAACGTAATGTTGACATCACAATGAAAACACGGCGATAACCCGCAAAACCTTCAGATATATTTGTTTCATGGAGTTATTGACTTAATAAAATTGTTTTCTAAGCTAAGATAAGGTTATCAATACATCTTTTTTTTCAGTGTATAATAATGAGGAGATAACTATCCGTTGCGAAAAATATCAATGGTATTATCATTTGAACTAACAATAAAACTTACAGACTCAACAACATTGTCATTATTAAATAATTTTACTACTTCGTTCAATAAGAAGCGTTCAATAAGAAAATCAGTTCGATCAGTGATAAAATATTTTATCATTGAATGCAGTCCAATAGGAATATCATTCGGTCAGTGATACAATATTTTGCCATTGGATTATTATCAATAAGAATATCATTTGCATTGAAAGCTACTCATTTATTTACCAGTGGTGCTTTCAATAGAATTTTACCAATAGCAATATTTTACTACTGAAAATTTTATCACTAATCGGTGATTTTCAATAGTAAAATATTACCCCAGATAACCAAACGTGCGATATCCCACGGTATCCGCATAAAATATCGCTATCGTATTATTAGAGGCTTCCTGTGTATTCTACAATACATGATTTCTGATAGGTTGAAATTCTTATTCTCTGTTCTCTGTTCCTTTTATTGTGCGAAGTCACTTACTGTACTGCTACGAGATAGCGGTATACAGCGTAACTATTATTATTATATGGTAGTAGTACAAAAAGTATACATATTATAGTACAACCACGGATGAGATACTATTAAAGACCGTCAACCCTGGGTAAATTTTCGGCAGTATAAAAAGGGTCCGGAAGTAATTGAAGAACGCTGACATTATCGACAATTGACATAAATTTTAATTTTAATTGATATAAATTGTTATTATTAACATAAATATTATTAACATAAATATTTGACTTATGCAATATTAAATTCATGATTTTTCATTATATAAATGTTCCATAAATAAATGTGCATACTAGTAAAGCTATAATATATAACTATAAAGCTATATACAACATATCAACACTGTACCTGTATTGCATACTGTTTAGGTACTATATAATATCTGTATCAATACGGTGTACTATTATCGACAGAAGAGAGAGACTGTGGAGACTTCTAGTTCAAGATGATATACATGATAACTAGTACTACAAAAATACAGCGTATGATTTTCTAATCTGAAAATAGTCGTTATAACATTAAAATTAAATATTAGACAGTAGCTGACTGGATGTTCAGTTAGACAAATTTCTATCAAGACCATATATGAACAGATGTATCAGAGTTATATAATATATCCATGATTGTATAGATGTTTGTTGTTGATTTTTGTTGTTCATCGAAGTGTAGCGGTTTCCATAAGATTTCAGAAGTCAAGGATAGCAGATAGCAGTATGCAAGCTTCGAAGCATTATAAAATTAGAATTTAGGGAAAAACTTTTTTTTATCATAATTTTATGATGTGTATTTTGGAATAAGATATTAATCAATAATAATACTCATTTTAGCAATAAAACTATGAAATTAATATACCATTAAAAATACTAGTCAGTAGATAAAATATTATCATTGGCAAAAACTCAGCTTGCTATAAAATACTGAATACTGAAATATTAAATATTGAAAACGCCATTCATTTTCAAGAGTTTTTCAATGATACTTTTAATAGTAAAATAATAGTAAAATAATAAAAAATAAATTATCTAATATTCTTGAGACTTCCATGTACTTTCTATATAAAGATAATGTGTTTCGCGGGTGTCTTCCGTGTTCAGACCCATTCTTGGAATGCCCCTTGAAATGACATTCTAAGAATGGATCTGAACATGGAAGAAACCTGCGAAACGTATAATCTTTATACAGTAAAATTATCTGTTTCGCAACGAGATAGTGAATTATATAGTCCTTATATGTCTGAAATTTAGTAAAAAAATCACCTAGATCTAAAGAATTTTTTTATGATTTCTATTAGTTACAGATTACCAAATTTTTCGTACGAGATACGGGATTTGAACTTGCGATCTATTAATTACGAAATCATCGCTCTTATTTGAAACATTGCATTATGTTAATTTCAATTATTTTGAGACATAATTTTCTATTTTTGTGTAATAAAATTTTTCAGTACAGGAGAATTTATTATACGAAAATATCTCATTACTTATATACTATTATAAATGTATGTTCATATATATTACTTATATTTTGGGAAAGATGTATCTTCATACTTTTCTTTTATGTATTGCAGAGACTATGAGAAAATATCCACCTATTCCTATCTTAAATCGCATTTGTACTAAAGAAATAACATTACCGACAACAAATATTCATGTGCCAGAAGGAACATTAATAACTATACCAGTATTAGGCTTACATCGAGATCCGTCGTTATTCCCGAATCCAGATAAATTTGATCCTGAACGATTCAACGCAGATAAAATAGAAGAAAGGCATGCCTATACTTATTTGCCATTCGGAGAAGGTCCACGAAACTGTATCGGTGTGTATTAATCCATTAATACTACATCTAATTTATACATTGATAATATTATATTTATAAAATCATCTTGTTATTTTTAAAGTATACTTGCGTATGCTTAAATGATGTTTTATTAATAATTAGACCGCTATTATATCCTAATAGCATCCTTAATGTGCAGAGACATTCCGTAGACGCCCTAAAGACATTCAATTATAAGTAATATATGTCTTCTCTCCATCTTTCTCTCTTCCTCCCTTCTCTCTCTCTCTCTCTCCCCCCCTCTTTCTTCCTCTCTCTTGCGAAAATATTTATAAAGGTATTTTTAATTAAATTATTGATTTAATTTTGCATAACTTCTGTTGTTTTCATATATTAAAAAAATTAGTAAATATATCCTAATAGGTTGTATTGAGGAAAGCTTTGTAAGTATAACCATTAAAATGGCGAAAAATATAAAAATATTTTGCAAATGTCATATGTATTATTAATTTTCAGGTTCACGATTTGGCTATACGCAAACAAAGATTGGACTTGTGAGTCTTTTGTCGAGATATATATTTAAGCTTCACTCCCAGACTCCGATCCCACTTACCTTCAGCAAAAATAGTTTTATTCTCACAGCGAAAAATGGTATGCACTTTATTATTGAACCACGAAAATAATTGCGATATCAGATATCAAGAATAAAAATATTACAGGATAAATATATTTTATGTATCAATTTTTTTATTTTTATTTATCTTGTTTCTATAAACTATATATTATTATGTACTATTATATTATGTTTTATTATATGATAATATGATAATATGAATATGATAATATAATAATATAAATTACTTAGTGCTCATGTGAAATATTCGAACAAATAAATATTGTAGTCAGCATAATTATTTGAATTTTTGCGGAAATTTTGGATGAATTAAACAATAAACATTTAAATGAATTTTTATAGCTACACGGCTTGAATTATGTTTATAGAATTTTAATACTTTTTTTTGTTGAATCAGATCTGTTATTATGAATGACGCGAAGTGAATATAGCCCGTATCCTTGTATCTTTCCTGTAACAAGTTTTATCATTACTGTCTTATGTAGCGATCTTGTCACAACTCGTTAGCATTCTTGTCAAGTTGCGATTAAATTTTTCGTACTGGGCACCTATCATGGAACAAGAATGGATTCCGATCGGAATTCTATTATGTTTTCTAATGAAAATGGAATAATTCCGGAATCCATTCCGATTTGTTCCATGATAGGTGCCTAGTGGATAATTCGATCGCAAAAACTTGATTATAATCGCGAGAATGTCGTTGTATCGATGCGGGAACTCCGGCAAAAATTTTTTTTAGAATTTTTCCGAAATTAAATATTCCAGATAAAATTGAATAAATTCGGATTTTTTAATCAAATTTTTCCAGAATATATAAAAATTTATTATAAATAAAACTAATTTATTAGAAACTATCCGATTTTAAGTTTAACATACATTTCTGCTAAAAGGCGTTTTTCGGAGAAATTCTGTACTTTAGATAGGAATTTATCTGATTTTAACAGAAAGATGGGTTTGCTCGAAAAATCCGAGTACCCTTTTTCAGCAAATGCAATTTTTTTTTACATATTCGGCATTATGTTACTAAAATTTTTACGGAAATGTGTGCGTTTATTCGAAGTATCTTGATTTCCTTTTCCCGGTAAAAAATTATTTCTCGACTTTTTCGAACAAATATATGATGACACATATCGGAATATCCGATTTTAAGGGAATGGAAACGAGGTTTAATCGAAAAATCTCGATTTCCGTATTTTCGACAAACAGGACCTACCTATTTCGAACTAAGTCGTGTTTTTCGCCAGAATTTATTCAATTTTAAGTGGATTTACTTAAAAAATTAATTTCCTTAAACAATTGAGATATTTTTAAAGATCAATTCAAAACAAATTCTGATACTTTTAATTTTAATGTGCGATCGCAAGTGTATTTTAATATTTGTATTAATATTACAGAAATGTAAAGTAATTATGATAATTAAAAGGACTTATATATATTTATACATTTTTCATAATATATAATAATATATGTTATACTTTCAAATTTTAGTTTTTCATTTAAAATAGATTGCCATAAATTCTACATAAATTTTCGCGGTAAAAAATCTCGCAAATATTGATTAAAAACACAGCATTAAGTATTACAATTAAACAAACTTTTTTTTAGGACTTTTGCGTTTGTGCATGTCCAATTATGAAAAAAAAAAGAATATTTAAACCATTATTTCTGAAATATATTCAAAAATTTCTATGTATTATATTTCTGTGTATATTAATAATATTTATTCTTAAAGCTGTTACTCATATTCGCATCAATTTTTCACTGTTTATATAATTAATGAATTTACATACATACTTTTAAGCTTTTCTTTTCTTTTCTTCCCTTCTCACATCGCGCGCACGCATATCTCTCCTTCGCTCTCACAATTTATAAATATTTATGGGCGGCATTCATAAACCGGTCTTATTTTAAGATCATCTTAAATAACATATTAAGATGCTATAATAATATACCCCTCTGATTGATGCTGGAGTAACCAAATTGTTGGAACATTGCAGATCGATATAAATTTCGAATTTACTGAAAGGAGTCAAAATCCTTTTATAGGATTAAAGTAAATTGGAAGGTGGATTTTATACTAAAATCGGAAAAAAAAAAAAAAATTAAAACTTAGGTTAACGATAAATAAAGTAGTAATTGTATCTAGCAGTAAATGTTCGATCTTGCAAGAGATGACGTTGCAATATGTTAGATAAGGACAAATGTATTGTATGCTTGAGTGAGACAGAACGATAATGTAAAAAATGAATATGTCACTATTATCTTTTTTTATTCAGAATTAAAAAAATCTGTATCAATATCGATCAAATTCGGCGATCACTCCAGCATCCCTTTAAACCTTATCAACCCCTTTAAAATATAAACAAATTTTCATTTAATTCTCTATAAGTTTCAATAATTGGCATAGAAACTCAATCTGTATGAATTTATCTTTGTACTGCTATATAGTGCGCATACATAACGTTTATATAACTGCTGGATAAAAAATAATCGACAATCTATAGTGTTAAAAGACCTAATACTTTCCATTATTTCGATTAATTCTAAAACAGCCGATTACACACACAACACTTATACGCACGCAAAAAATTAAACAAGTGTAACATATATGTATAAATATCATAATCAATTTTTACAGTGTCTAAATACGTATTTAAGAAATTATCTATACATATTATAATCACATTAGGTAATAAAGTTTATCCGTACATTCAGCTTACAGATTAAATTTAAATTTACTATGTTGATAAGATACATAGTAAAAGTCCGCCTATTTGTTAGATATTATATAAATAATATTAAATAAGATAATATCAATATAATGTGACAAGAAAAATTTAATCTTTTGTGTCAATTTTTCAAGTATTATAAGCGGATTCTTCTTATAGTTCTCGAATGAGGATAAAAATCATTCTAAAGTTGATATATGTTGATGGACATCGAATATAAATGTCTTATGAATTAACATTATCCATAGTGAAAGAACTGAGGTGTACACTGAAGTGTACCAATACACTTATATATATATATATATATATATATATACTCGTCATAGATACATTATATAAATGCCCCGATATATGAAATTATTCTATTAGCTGAATTGCAACTTGTCGAATTATAATATTAACATTGCAAGTTTAATAAGTAAAAACAGTTCTCGCATCGACTTTTTCGAAAATTTTGTATAATTACAAATTGGCTATAACTTATTCTTACAATCGTATTCCCTACAATCCGGATTTTTCTAGACATTTATAAATGCCTTGTCTAAAAGATCTGGCAGTGAGTCCTCTTCAGTAGGCCAGTTACAAAATTGATATTTGATCATAGATTGATAAATGACACGTCAATGAAAAGAATAAAAATATAAAGCGTCAATATTTATAATATAAATATTTCGTAAACTTACATATACGTAAGAATCGTAGATATATTATGCTAAAAAATTGTAAATAAATCTGAGGTCTGTAGGATGAACATTCTAAGATTATTGACTTAGGCTGTACTGGTGTGACTGTTAGCACCGCTGATAGTGCTAAAGAGAGCAGCGCTATTGCGTTTGAAGCTTCCTACTTGCTCGTCTAACCATATTGGCTCCCCAAACAAAGATGACAAACTCTGACATAGTTTCTGATAATTCTCACGCAGCACTTCTTGATATTCATGTTGGTCCGGTGTGATTAATTTACTATTAATTTGTAACGCTGTGTAACATATCTTGACAAATTCCCTGAAATCGCAAAAAGAAATCTTTGTAAGTAACTATAATATCATGCATATGAGAAATTACTAAAGAGGTAATTAATTATAAAGTGACAAAATATACCTAAAGACATCTTTCAACTCTTCTACTTTATCATCGGGATATTGCGGAGATAGCGCGGGATCCAGAAATGCGGAGGCGTAGGCTAAAGGACCGGCATTCACTGTTACGCAAATGCTACCTTGGAGACGTAATTGCAGTTTTTTTATGTCCGTCGGTCCAATCAAAGCCACATCTTCCAATTCCTGAACACGTTGCCTCATCTCATCCAAAGCGACCTCGATAGGGCTGAGCTCTACAATCCGTTTTTCGGCAATTCCGATGCGCTTTTTCACATATGGAAAAGCATATTGTGCTGTGAAAATAACAAGCATAAATTTTCATATCTCTCTCAATAAAGCAAAATCTCAGATAACATAAGTCTGCAAAATTTAATTTTTTTGTGCTATTTGGAAAAGAAAAGTAATTTTCTATAGTTTTTGATGCGCTGAATCTGAATCCGCGAGTAAAATTGTTCTATACTATGTCAAACTTTTTAAAAAAATGAGGTCTGAAAAATGCGTTTTTGGCTTTGAAAATTCGTAGCTGATAAACCTGATATATGAGATATTTCGAAAAATGCTAAAATTAATGTAATTAGACATTATACTTTGATATAAAAATATCGAATCTTTTACAGCCAGTGTCGAACCTCTGGTTTGAATCTCTAGTTGCACAATATCAAATATAAAACGATTGTCTCATAGTTTTAGACAAAATATTGTTGCTGTAAAAAAACTTAAATTCACACAATGAGACATCCAATCGTTTCCGTGTTTAATGTTTATTTAAGAACTTCAAGACGAAATTACAATCTTTTAGCTTAACATCTTAAATCGTAGATCGTAATCGTCCTCCTTCCATAGAACAACCGAACCATACATCAACCGAATCATACATCAACTTCTCGAATAAAAATCGTTCAAGCTCGAAAAATAACTGTACAATTACATTTACGCAGCATGTTCACACATCATCTAAATATATACTAGGAACAGTAGGTCCGAAACAAACTCATTCTATTAAGTACGTTTCCTACAATATTGTAAATAATAAATTGATGTGATAAAACATTTTTATTTACGGAGCGCATTAAAAATAATAGGAAACTATTATTCTTTTCCAAAGCAAAAATCATGCAAATCTATGTAATCAAATAAATTATTTGACATTTGACTGTACTTGTGAGAATAGTCCTACGTTTCCATTGTTCCTCCGGACTGCCTCTCGCTTTGCCTTCCTTAGTAAACGGTGTCTCGAACATGAAGCAGGATACATTGTGATTCTGCTCAAACTCTGTCTGTAGTACTTCTAACTCGATCTTTTCAAAGTACGGTGTGACATGCGTTACCTGAATATATGCTACCTTAGGATCCAACTCACTTATGTCAACTGGTACAGAATCCATTATCATCTTAACGTTCTCAGATCCGAACTTTTCGCTATACAAATGCAATAAACGTTCTGATATCTCAGATAATGATGTTACTTTGGGTTCCTTATAGATATATTCTTGACAATTTTCCTC